TTAACAATCGACGCTTGCTTGCGCGGGCCGCGGCCAGTTTGTTTTCTTACGGCGCCCACCGCCACCCCCCCCCGGGACCCCGAAAACATTTCGTGCCCCCCCAACTCTCCGCCGCGACTGTAATCATATCTATAAAATTGTTATAAGTACACCTGTGCATAACGTTGTGTCCTTATTAATGTTAAATTTAAAAAATGAATATAGATCAACTTATAATGACGAATAACTTTTTTAAACGTTTTAGTCTGTAGCAGAAACTAAAGTGCATCAATTTGCCTGGAAAAAAAAACAAAATCCTTATTTAAACTATAAACAATTTTGACCATTTGATACTGGAAAATAAATTCAAATTGATCAGCAACATTTTAACTCGTTATATAAAACACTTTGACCTAAAAAACACAAAAATGAATGAAACAATTTGTGCTGATTTTTGTTTTTTTATCAACATGAAGTCATGATCAATGAGCACAGTCATCGATAAAACGAAAACATTTTGTCAACGCGAAAGAGGGAGCAGGTAACGGGTGTGCCCAACTTTAGCGACAGACTGCAGGTGAGAGCAACAATCGCCGTTTCCTGAACTATTTTCCAAAGAGGACACCTTGCTGCATATAATAATAATAATTGTATTAAATGTTAATGTGCTCCGAGCATCGTCGTCATCGTGCAGACGTGCAGCTTTAGACCAAACTCCAGGTGAGAGAGAGCGAGAGAGCTCGTACCGCCGAGGGAACACGCAGCCCAAGTCTCTCACAGTGAGAGGCTGCGTCTGCTGCTTTCTTACAATTAAATAATATTAAGTGTAAAATATAAATATGTATATGCCGCAGATTATAGCAAGATGTGTTTCCGTGTTTAACTTTTATGCAAAACTCACAAAGTTCTCTCTGTGAGAGGCCGTTTCAGGTGTTTGTAGTGTGTCATAATGTTAATAGAAAAGTCACCTCTGCACGGTGTTTTAAGGTGTTGTGGCTGTTTGGATGAGCTAAACTTATTTATATTTAGAACCATATCGAGAGATATCTGTACTGTGATTAATGCAGTTTAATAAATGATCCAATATGAAACATGGATAGTGTTTAATTACTACATGAGCTGAAATCCTGTAATATAATCCCTTTGACTGAAATAATCATTTCAGGGGAGAAACGTCAGTCTTGAAATAAATTAAAATAATAAGTTAATCTCTGCAAATGATCTTTTTTTTTTTTTAATGCGTCAGACAAACCCTCAATTGAAAACTCTGAAATGACATCATTGTAAAAACTACAGAGAAGTTGTTTAAAGCCGTCTCTTCCTTCAGAATGCCATCGGTCTCGATGGTTCAGGAAGTCTTACAGCTTCAGAACACTAGACTGTACTGTGTACTTTTACTGAGGCCTGCGCGCGATATATATATATATATATATATATATATATATATATATATATATATATATATATATATATATATATATGCCTCTGCGTTTGAAAGCCTCTGAGAAGGAACTATGCAGAAAAAAGCTCTCGAACGTGTGGGATTGGGTGGTGTGTGGGGGAGTGAATGCTTGTGTAACGTCCAGGTGTAGAAAACATTTGAATCCAAAGACTTTGTTTTAATCCCTGCTTTAAATGTGCTGCGAGCGCCTCACTTGCATAGTTATGAAGAGGAAGAGGAGAACGAGGAAGTCACACTCCAGCAGCATCCGCCTCAGCTGGGACGTTCTGAGCAGTCGTCCAGATGGCCGACTGAGAACATTTGTATATAGTAACTTGTTAAATTACTTTTTTTTTTTTTGCCATCTTTATTGTAAAGTTTGCAGAACAATCTTGAAAATGTCCTTACATCCACCCCTGATAATACTTTAATAACCTAATATAATAGAGAATAGAAAAACTGTAAACTCACGGTATTTCTGTTTTGTTGAGCTGCTTTTCTTTGACTATGTTTATTCTACATATATTAATGGGGTTTTTTTGTTTGTTTGTTTTTTTTTATAGATAACGTTCCATTTGGTGAAGTTGCTATGGCCCCTCCATCGCTCAGTGCCAAACCCAAAAAGGCCCAGGTTAAAAATCCGGTAACTCCTACGCAGTGAGCACCTGTTGTCTTGCAGCTCTTGGTGCTTGGACAAATAGTTAACTGAGAGTTTTATTCTTCATGTCTTCCATCCAGAAGGCTCCGAAGCAGCTGCTTCTCAACTCTCTGCTGGGCCACACCGCAGCCTCCACAGCGAAACCTTCCATGGCCAGACAGAGACTCGTGGAGGAGGAGAGACGGCGAGTGGTGGAGGCCTACCGTCAGCTCAAGAAACAGAAGCAGAGCAGAAGTGCAAATCCATGAAGTGGGGACTTGAATAAAACCTCTTAAATGGAGTACTTGTACTGAAGGGCAGTGATCTGCAGGAACTGACGAGCAGACTGTGTCATTTTGGAGCTGCAGTCTGTAAACACAGTGCACATTTTTCAGGGAGATAAGTTTAATTTGCCTCCGCAGGCTGTTAATATGTGATAAATAATGTGCCACGTTCATAATCACGTTAAGTAAATTTAAGAGTCACGTGTTTTGTGGCATTGCTCAATAACACACATGGGGAGTGGTGGCACAGTGGTTAGAGAAGGTGGGCCTGTGATTGGAAGGTCTCCGTTTCCTCTCCCCGGAGTGACAACTTCAAAATGTGGGTGGAAAAGGTGCAGCACCCACACCTGCCTCCACCCTCATTTGCCCCACTCTGGGCCCTTGAGCAAGGCCCTTAACCCCCATCATCTGCTCCCAAACAGGTCTCTTGAAGTGAGTCCTCGGGACTCATTGGGACTACCTGTATAAATAAAAGTTCAATTAAAAAAATAAAATAAACAGTCAGTGGCTCACTGTTTATGTCAGATGTTTACTAGGATGTGCTTCTTTGCATTTACTCCCCCTCTGTGTGTTTATGCTTGTTTATGGAAATGTTTTCCTGGATGGTTTTATCGTCGTTTTAGTGTCGCGCGCGCGTGTGTGTGTGTGTGAGGTCATTGAGCTTCACATGAAACGAACAGAATACTTTGAGTTGTTTTGTTCAAGACATAAATCCTTCCCATGAAAACTATAGTTTCATTTTGTGTGGACATTTTTAATTGTTTGTGTTCAGAGTCAGAGTTTCTTTATTGTCATTCGCACCTCATGTGGTACATGTGGTGGAACGAAATTATGTACACAAGGTCCCAGTTACATCCAACAATAAAATGTATAAGAAAAACAGTAATAACATCTAAGATATGAACTAAGAAAAACATCAACTAAATATACACTAAGCACTCATAACATAAAACATTGAACATCAGCACAAACATGAACATGAGTCTGTGAGCAGATGTGCACGCATGAACACATCAACATTGAAACAGATCAGCAGCAACATGAAACAGATCAGCAGCAACATGATATGGTTTTACACAGTGATTATTCTAGTTAGAGATTCATGAGTCTAACAGCCTCAGGGTAGAAGCTGTTCCTCAGTCTAGTGGTTCTACACTTAATGCTCCTTAACCTCCTTCCTGAGGGGAGTGGGGCAAAAAGTGTGTGTGCTGGGTGAGTGGGGTCCTTCATGATGCAGGTGGCCCTCTTCCTGCATCTGGAGGTGTAGATGTCTGTGATGGTGGGGAGGCTGATTCCGACAGTCTTCTGTGCAGCCTTCACAACTCTGCAAAGCTTTTCTTTCTGCAGCTGTGTTCCTCCATGCCACACGTTGATGCTGGAGCACAGGATGCTCTCCACTGCACACCTGTAGAAGGAGGTGAGGACTGAGCTTCCCAGACCAGCTCGCCTCAGCCGTCTGAGGAAGTAGAGTCTCTGATGAGCTTTCTTGATCAGGCTGGTGTTGTTGTTGCTCCAGCTGAGGTTGTCATTCATGTGTACACCCAAGTACTTGTAGCTTGTTCACTGCAGAAATCCCTACAAAATGTTTTTCTAAAATTATTTCATGCTCATATGCGAGGGTTTGAGTTGTAGAACCCTCCCAACAGAATGAAAACGGCGACAACAGGTTTCTGCAGTTTTCCAGAGCTGTTTTTTTAATTGCTTCGGAAAAAATTGTGCAAGCATCTTACCTGTCACAAGTTCTGGCACAGGGTTACAGCATCAGTGGTCAGACAGGAATATAAACCATCTTCAAGAAAGAAAAAAAGCCCCCACACTATTCTCCTACTTAAATAGATGAAGATCCTCCCCTAAGCAAAACAGTTACAACTAAATATATACAAAATGATTTTAACACACGCAACTGATTACCAAACTAGGGATGCACCGATCCAATTTTTTTTTTTCGCTTCCGATATCGATAGCTACGGTTTAGTATCGGTCGATACCGATATGATCCAGAAAAACTGCTGAATTAACTTAAAACATTTGTTTGTTTTTTTAAATGCAGACAAATGTACTGAATTACACATTTTTTGAAAACTGCACCAGTACAGCAAAACACACCAGTAGCTTCACAAGTTTGTCAAACACGTAAAAACAACACATTTGTTCAGTCAGTGCAATGATGAGTGTAACATCCGATGTAAAATAATAATAAAGATACTGAAACTGACAAAAATATGTTGACAACTTTGGTCAAACATGGAAAAATAAACTTCAGCAAACCTTTCAAATGCTTCAGGAAATCTATAATGTAAAATAAATAATAAGGAGCTGAAATAAGAAGAAAAAAACAACAGGTTCACTAACTTGGTTGGCAGATATTTAAAATAAACCGTGATCAGCTCCTGCCCTTCTGGATCGGTCACATTGTCACCGATACCTGATCAAGAGTTTTTTTTTATATCGATGCGGATACTAATATCGGATCGGTCTTTACCGATAACGTTTTTTTTTTCACAATATCGGTACTGATACAGATATTAATATTGGATTGGTGCTTTTCTACTACCAACTTGTGCAAATAATATACAAAACAACAAACAAAAGTTTCAGTCCACTTTATCCCTCAGCTTCACCCAGTGGTCTGGCCCAATAAGATGGATAATTAGGTAAAACTCCAGGTGAAGTCTGGCCAGCCTGTCATCATATGTGCGCTCCATGAAGCTAGCCTTTAGGAAGTTGACCTCAAAGAAAAAGCTACTAGTCTTCAAAATAAAAGCATAACAAGGCAAAGTTCCTGTTTGTGTCTGTATGTACTTCACCTTAATGAGGGAAATGCTTTGCAGCGCCAGACTGTTTAATTTAATAAGAGATTCCCCTTTTATTTTGATCAGCTGGATTTTCACATTAGTTCTGCCGCAAAAGCTAAAGATCAATCCTGTCTCAAGTCCAGGCTGATTGTAGAAGGATGCTGGTGTGTAATCAAGTTTATCAGTGTTACTAATTTTAAAATAAATTATTTTTTTATTGAATAAGTCTTCTGGTTAAATCTTGGCCTCTAAACAAATACAAATGCTTTTTTTTTTTTTTTTTAAGTGAGATTAAAAACAAATACTGCATTGATTCTTTTTCAGTAGCCATCAGATGATTATAGCAGCAGATGGTGTTTCAAAGGGCTTTACGACAAAAAAGTTAAATCATGTCATCTGGACGGTTTCTTTTTTGGAAGAAGACGTTTCATCAGCGTCAGACTTCTGATGAAGTCTTTCGGATGAAAGACGAAACATTTTCTTCCAAATAAAAAAAAAGAAAACGTCCAGATGACATGATTTAACTTTTTTGTGATTTATTTACCTAAATGATTGGACATACTTATTGTTTTTTTTTTTGGTTTTTTTACCATGGCCGCTTGTCCTGAGCCTGGTTCTGCTAAAGGTTTCTTCCTCATGAGGGAGTTTTTCCTTCCCACCGTCGCCTTCGTGCTTGCTCAAGATGAGAGTTCTGCGATGGAGTTAAATTCAAAGCAGTCTGCTCCTCAGATAAATAGTAACTTATTATTTTTATATATGAATGTTTCTGTTCAGTGCCCTGAGATGACTCCTGTTGTGACTTGGTGCTATAAATAAACTGAATTAAATAGAATTATGGCCAGGTTGTCCTCGGGCTGGTTCGGTGAGTAAGCAGCCATTTTGCCTATAATATTTGATTGTTATGCACTGCTGATCTATTGTTTTAGACATGCGCCTTCATTTTGCATACAGTATGTAAAGCCTGGGAACTCAACAGCAGACTGGTTCAACATGTCAACAAAATAATACGACAGATCCTGTTCACAGGATGAAAGACAAAACGCTTTCTTCCAAAAAAAGAAACTGTCCAGATGACGTTTTAACTTTTTTGTGATTTATTTACCTGGATGATTGAGCCTACTTACTCTCTTTTTGTCTGGTTTGTGAGTAAAATCTAACGGTTCTGACTTTTTTCTCTCATCTGTTTGTCCACTGATTGTTGTGTGATGAGGACATGTCCACATCAGAGACAGCTGCTTGTGATTTCTCCTGAGCCGAGCACACCCATCAGCACTCAGGTGTAAGACATCCACTCACGTTGTCAGGGGAGCTACATTTGCTGCCTGGGCTGTTTATGATTTCAAAGAGCATCACTGACCTGGTAACATCTAAATATGAACACCAACTAATATTTAGTTCACAATATTCTGCGACATATCTAATAACCAGGCATCCAGAGAGACTTTTAACATTAAAATGGTGCAAGAAAGTTCTAAAAGGCTGCATAGACACCTTTATTTGTTGTGTAGACTGAACGTTTGTCACAAGTACTGTATTTTCCAGAGTATAAGTCGCATCAGTCCAAAAAAAAGCATTGTGAAGAGGAATAAAAAACATATTTAAGTTGCTTTGGTATATAAGTTGCATTTATTATGCATCACCACTGACCCGTCACGTTTATTTAATGGTCAAAACAGCTTCATTTCGCCTGGGCAGCGCGACGCCATCCATCAGCCGGAGCCGCTAGCTCTCCAGCGTTCCTCCGCCTGCACCAGCTGAGTGAAGCGATTGCTCACGGGAGGACTCGCTGTTGCAGTTCTTCGAAATTTAACAAGATTAACACTTAAAAACAATTGTTTGTTTGCTCAACATTATAGCAACAATGTGCATCAGTTGAACTTTTTCTTAATAAATGCGCTTTAACGCTCTAAACTACTTTATTTCGCCTGGGCGGCGCAGCGCCATCCTTCCATCGCAGCCGGAGCTGCTAGCTCTCCATCGTTCTTCCGCCTGCACCAGCTGAGTGAAGCGAGCGCGCGCAGGAGGACTCACTGTTGCAGTTCTTCGAAATTTAAAACATCAGTCCAAAATTTTGTTGTAAATATGGGGGGTGGGGGTGTATATAAGTCGCAGGACTGACAAATCTTTGCAAAAAACGGTGACTTATTTGCCGGAACATACGGTATTTGGATATTAGGCAGGAAATAATGTGACGTGCACTGTTTTAAGGATGTACATTTGCGCATGCTCTCGCAACATTAATGCAATTTATAAAACCTGCACTTTGAATATGAAAAGTCAAAAAAGTGTTGAAAATGTTCTGATTGTATTTTCAACCTGTGCTATGAGCAGGATGTACAAATAGACATTTTCCCACATTTGCCGTCTTGTTTACTTGAACAAAGCTGCAGTTTGTGATCAATTAAATTTTTCAAGCAAGTGCTCATGACTGCTGACTGCGCGAGGAGGTGGGAGTCGTTGGGAGAAACCTGAATCAGCTTAATGCTAGGCAGCCGCAGCTGTGTGTGTGTGTGTGTGTGTGTGTGTGTGTGTGTGTGCAGGCTAGTGCACAAAAGACACATTTTAAGTGAATAATTTTGCTTGACAGTGCAGTGTGAATAGCACACAGCTCATTTCAAGTCAAAGCAGGTATAAATTCTAATTTGTTTAAAACTTTTTTCATTCAAATAAACACCACACATGAAGATGTTATTAGCAGCTCAGGTGAACGGAGAATATTACAGAGCTAAAATGAAATGTTTTGGTCTGTGTGTGGTTGGTCTCATTATATCTGATTACTATGAACGTTAATGCACTTTTACAGTTTTCTTCCTGGTAAGTCTTTACCACACAGCCTGGCAGCATCGTGTGGCACCTGATGAGCCTTATCCGGTTGACTTCATGTAAATATCTGCTGAAGCCACAGCAATATGTTTCCAATGACGTTTCTTCTTTCAGTGTCTCACACCAGTCAACTTGTTACATTTGTACACAGGAAAGAGTCAACATGCACAGCACAGAATTAAAGTTAGCTTTATACATTTATTTGTGTTGTATGTATTTATGATGACATAAAGGATTTTATTTTTACAACAAAAATCAAAAATATTCAAAAGTGGAACTTACATTGAGGAAACTGCATTATCCATTAGTGGCAGATTAATGAATTACCAGCTGGACCTTATTTTTATTGGGCATTTTAAAACTTAGTCAAATACAATAATTACACAGTGTCACTTTATGGACTGAAATATATTGCATATAACCATCTAAACCATGTTTATTGTTTTGTAATTGTGAACGAACAGAATTATGAATATTGATTTTGCAGAAAGTTCAGTTATACCTAAATATTTTACTCGTTGCTCCATTTTAGATTTGAAAGAAAAAGTCAAATGGCAGCAGGAGCATTTGTTAGTACTGACTAACCAGGAGTGTGAAGCTGCTGGCTTCAAACTGTTTACGTCTAACGGAACAGAAAGTGGGTTTAAACCAGGAAAACTTGCTACTGAAGAACTGAAATGCAACTTAAAAAAGAAAAAACTTTTGTTACTATGTCATCTGTCTTCAGATCAAAGTGTTTTACTTATTTCATTTTCAAATTTTCATTGTTATGCTGATGATACACAGTTATATTTGTCCATGAAACCCAATGAATCCAATCAGTTACTTAGACTACAAACATGTCTTAAGGACATTAAAAAAAACTGTATGACCCTAAACTTTCTGCTTTTGAACACAGACAAGACTGAGGTTTTAGTTTTTGGACCTGAACATCTTGGGAATATATTTTTCAGTCTTTCACCCTCCTTGGATGGCATTAATCTGTCCTTCAGCTCTAAGGTGAAAAATCTTAGTGTTATTTTTGATCTTTTAACCCCCACATTAAAAACGTTACCAGAACAACTTTCTTCCACCTGCGTAATATTGCTAAAATTAGAAACATCTAAAAACGATGCAGAAAAACTGGTTCATGCATTTGTCACGTCTAGACTGCACTATTGCTATGGTTTATTATCTGGATGTCCAAATTTATTAACCTTTATTTAACCAGGCGAATCCCATTGAGATCACGGTTCTCTTTTGCAAGGGAGGCCTGGGCAAGATACAGATCTACATTTATTTCTTAACCAACTACTTCTTCAAAGTCTTCAGTTGATCCAAAATGCTGCTGCCAAAGTCTTAACTGGAGTTAATAGGAGAGATCATATTTCTCCAGTTTGAGCTTCTCTCCATTGGCTCCCTATCAAATCTTTCTTCTAATCTACAAAGCTCTCAACAACCTAGCTCCATCTTAAATTAGAGATTTTGTTGTTCCATGTTTTCCTAACAGAGCACTTTGCTCTCAGACTGCAGGCTTACTCACGGTTCATAGAGTTTCCAAGAGCAGAATGGGAGGAAAGATCTTTCAGTTATCAGGTTCCTCTCTTGTGGAACCAACTTCCAGTTTATGTCTGTAAGGCTGACACATTGTCCAGTTTTAAAACTGGGATTAAGACTTTCCTTTTTGATCAATCCTATAATTAGGGTTGGCTTGTTATGCTGCCTTAAGCTTAGATTACTGGAGGACAACTTGACCTCATTTCCTTAAATGAAGTTTTGCAATTGAATAGTTTTCATTTGATATTATTTATATCTCAACATGAGATTCTCAACCTGCCATTGTGTATCTGTTCCTCCTTCCTGTTCCTCTCGGACCCAGCCGGTTGAAGGAGATGGCCGCTTGTCAGCCTGGTTCTGCTAAAGGTTTCTTCTTCATGAGTGACGTTTTCCTTTCCACTGTTGCCTTCATGCTCGCTCAAGATGAGAGTCTGCAATGGAGTTAAATTCAAAGCAGTCTGCTCCTCA